ACTGGTCTACAATACCTATCTTCTCTAGTAACACACACACACACACACACACACACACACAGAGTCAGTGACACAATGGCTGTCATACTGGCATAATAATGTGTAGTCCCTCCCACCCATCCCACACACTTAGTAAAAAAGGGGGGAAGGGACACACAGAGTCAGTGACACAATGGCTGTCATACTAGCATAATAATGTGTAGTCCCTCCCACCCATCCCACACACTTAGTAAAAAAGGGGGGAAGGGAATATAAATTAGCATGAGGCATATTAGAGCTTAATCCAGATGAAATTGCTGATATTCACCAATTTCTGACCTATAAAAATAACAATTTAATATGGTTCAACTTAATATTTTTAACCTAAAGATTACATGAGAGGGGTCATTGTGACATCCAGAACTAGGCACTTAATGGACCTCCAAAAAGTTCACTGACACGAGTGTTTGCTGACTGCAAAGGTAAAGACCACTGTATTTTAGGTCTAAGAGCAGTGTTACATTAACTGCTGATGAGCTTAGCTACTCCTATACTAGTAGTATTAGTCCATTTCTGTTGCTTATAACAGAATACCTGAAATGGGGTAATTCATAAAGAAATGAAATTTATTTCTTACAGTTTAGAGGCTAGGAAGTCCATGGTCCGGGGGCACATCTGGTGAGGGACCTGTTCTTGGCAGGAGCTCTCTATAGGAATGCAGGGTATCACAGGGCAAGGATGGGCTGAGCAAGAGAGCTAACCTTACTTGCTCTCCTTTTAAAGCCATCAGAATCATACCCATTACTCCATGAGTGTATCAATCCATTCATGGGGGCACAGTCCTCACAATCTAATCACCTCTTAAAGGTCCCACCTTTCAATTACCATAACTGGATTTCCCACCCTCTTAACATTGTTACAATGGAGGTCAAGTTTCCAATACATGGCCTTTTGGGGGACATATTTAATCCATAGCATAGGCCAATATGCAGTTTCTACAAGCCTTACTGAAAGATAATATCTGATCAAAAAGCAAGACACTGGCCAATGACAGGTGTTCCTAACCACCATGTGCAACTCAAGGCCTATGACTGAAGACTCCTGGAAGCACATCACATAGATGCCTCAGAAAGCCCCTCAAATTCAGTCTTTACAAAACCATCACCATCATCAACGTCACTGTCATCACCATCATCACCAGCTTCATCATCATTGTTGCCACCATCCCCCCTTCAAACAGATTATAAACAAACATGGATATGGACCATAACTTGTATGTCTCTAACAAATTCACAGCTCTGTGCAGAGTCCCCCTTAAGAGATTTACTGAGATATTCCCATACCATATAATTCACCCATTTGAAGTGTACAATTCAATGGATTTTTGTATAGTCACAGAGTTGTAAAACCATCACCCAAATCAACTTTTAGAAAATTTTCATCACCCCAAGCAAAATTTCGTACCTATTACCAGTCACCTCCCACTCCCCCTCCACCAGCCCCAAGCAACCACTAATCTACTTTCTGTCTCTGGATTTGCCTATTTGTCATATAAGTTGAATCATACAATACGTGGTCTTTTGTGACTTCTTTCACTTAGCATGATGTTTTCATGGTTCTTCCATGCTGTAGCAACTATCAGTATTCCATTTACTCTTATTATGGAATAATATTCCATTGAATATTTTGTTTTATCCATATTTTGTTTATCCATTCAATATCAATTCATCCATTTGGATTGTTTCCACTTTTTAGCTATTATGCACAATGCTGCTATAAACATTCATGCACAAGTTTTTGTGTTGCTATATGTTTTTATTTCTCTTGGGTATATAACTAGGGGTGGTATTGCTGAGTCATACGGGATTTCTGTGTTTAACATTTTTAGAAACTGCCAAACTGTTTTCCAAAGTGGCTACACCATTTTACAATCCCTCTGGCAAATATATAAGATTTCCAGTTACTCCGCATCCTCACCAGTGGGATTTCTGTGTTTAACATTTTTAGAAACTGCCAAACTGTTTTCCAAAGTGGCTGCACCATTTTACAATCCCTCTGGCAAATATATAAGATTTCCAGTTACTCCGCATCCTCACCAGCACTTGCAATTTTCTGTCTTTTTTTCTTATAGCCATCCTAGTGGGTGTAAAGTGGTATCTCACTTGGATTCTTTGAATTGTTATTGTTAAGTTGTAAGAGTTCTTCATACATTTTAGATATAAGTCTCTTACCAGATACATGATTTTCAAATATTTTCTCCCACTTTGTGGGTTGTCTCTTTTTGATAATATCCTTTGAAGCACAGAAGTTTTTAATTTTGATGAACTCCAGTTTATCTATTTTTCCTTAGTTGCTTGTGCTTTCAGTATCATATTTTAAAAGGCTATGTCTAACACAAGCTCACAAATATTTGTACCTATGTTTTACTGTAGTAGTGTTATAGTATTAACTCTTTCATTTAGGTCTATGACCCATTTTGAGTTCATTTTTGTGAATGGTATGAAAGTGCCCTGTACATAGCTTTGAGTTTTCAGAAATAAATAGTCCACACAATTTTTTTTCTAGTTCATAACCACATTACCAATAATTTCTTCTTCACTGGCAATGATATTCAAGAATGCTTTCTCTTCAGCATTTTTGAAAGAAACCTGGCATTCAAGATGTCCAGGGAATTTTGCACAGGAAGAATCCAGGAAAGCTAAAAAGGCTTTTTTGTCAAGTCATTGTTAATGTTGGTTAAATTGCTCAAAAACTTATTTTATATTGCCTTGTGATTTCTTTCATTGCCTTGAATGATTTCTTTATTCTGAATATTGAAAATTCAATAGGTGTTTATGGTTTCTTGTGTTTTGGTATTATTTAGTCTTCCTTCTTTCCTCTTCCTTCCTTCAGGGCTGGTGTGTAACAGGTGCTAAATGCATGTTTTGGGGTTTAATTTGAATAGTTAAACCCTGTGCATGATTTCTGAATCTAAACAATAATAGTTCCCTTTCACTCAGTGACTATACATGCACTATTCCATCTATATATTTTTTAAAATATTTATTTCACAATACCTAAAGAGTAATAAGCATCACTCCATGTAGATTAAAAAAAAGAGAGAGAGAGAAAAATAGTAATAAAGTGCATTCACATCTATGCAAAATGTATGCATGGGAGAAGAGGCTAAAGGAAAAAAAGAATTTAAAATGTTAAGTCTTTTTCTTGGATAAGTGCTTTCTTATTTTTGATAGTCAGTGTCTCTCATAATATGCATACATAATTTCTATTTTTTAACAAAAGGTAAATCTATTTCAAGATAAACATCATTTATTCTAGATTTTTTATATATGCAAAGAGAAATAACATCGCTGCTATCAGTCACTTTAAAATGCCATAAAAAAGAAAGCACTTTTATAATTACAAAGTTCTATACAAATGTGACTTACCATTTTTATCTTGAATAAAAATAACACAATGAATGAATACTATCCAAGCCATTATACTGTTAGAATATCTGGCAGTTAGAGAATTTCTGATCATCAAGTGCAGATGATCGTCCATATTCACTTGGCCCTGCCATAATGATATCATACCTCCTCCTCCTTTCTCCTGCTTTACCAACCACGTGTACACCTCTACATATTAAAGAGAAATTTACTGCTCCCTTAATCTTTGCATGAAGTAACCTTCACCTCTAGAGCTCACCAGGAAGCACCTGAGTGTGTGTGTACCACGTACAAAAACACATGCACACTCAGGCTCTGCCTGTCCAACAGGCAGGCTTCACTCCAGAGGTGGGAAGAGCTGGTCATAATACAACCTGTGTCTAAGGTGCAGGAACATTCACTAGATTCCCATAATCTGTTTGTTGGCTGGATTTAAGAAACCTGGAGCTTGTACTTGATCGATTCTGCTCTGGGTGCCACAGGGGCCAAAGCAAATGGCACTAAGAAAATTCAGAATACAAGGGCGTGATTCAGTCAGCTTACAAAAAAAGGAAAAAGAACTCCCTGGCAACAGAAGTCAGCCCTCCTGCCCTCCCAGCTGATCTCGGAGAGCCCTTGTTCTGTGGACTTCAACATCAGAGGCCAAAGCCCTTGTGATCCTCCACTGGCTGCTGCTCAATAAAAACACCATCCCATTCCATAATTTTGATCACTATTATTTCCTCAGTTAATAAAACTTAAAGAAAACATGTTTTCAGAGATGCTAAGGGGTAGAAACCCATTTTGACTGAGGTCACCCTTGGCAGGAGTCAACTCTTCTTCTCCTAAAGTTTTATATTCTTTTAAAAAATCATTGTATTATTTCAAATATTAAAATAATAAAACATTATTTTTTGCAATGGAAAGAGGTTCATGTTTGCTCCCACAGATTTTCATGTATACACTTTTAGTTGCATCCTAAAGTTTTATATTCTTTTAAAAAATCATTGTATTATTTCAAATATTAAAATAATAAAACATTATTTTATGCAATGGAAAGAGGTTCATGTTTGCTCCCACAGATTTTCATGTATACACTTTTAGTTGCATTAAAAAGCTTAACTCGAAGATGGAGTTTTAAATAATATTTTCTAAGTTCAATAACTCTGAAAATTCTGGATCAGTTCTGAGAGCCTCTTCCATTGTGTATCTTGTTTTTTAAAATCCTTTCTTATTATAAATATATAAATTATTTCTAATACCATCATGAGGGAAAAGTAATGCCAAAAATTTCATATCCAGTTACAGCTGACCAACGTGAATGTAAACAAGGTTACTATACATTGCGGAAATAGCATCTCTAAGGGCAGCTTGGGAAAAACAACTTGGGTTAGTAACTAACTTTCAATAGCCACATGTCAGGAAGAATACAGAATTAAGGAAAAAGGAGGTGCTAGCCCTGCTTGGAGGGAAATTTATTTGTTTTAAGGGAAAAATAAGGTTAGTAGTTAAGGATGTTGTAGTAGAAGGTTAACTATTACTGCATACTTATGGGGGGCACATTTTGGAACCTTCTCCCCTCCATATAAATGGCTACTTTCAACAGAAACTTCCAGAGCTGTTTTGGGGCTTTTAGCAAGACCTCATCTGTTCGATCACTGAATTCCTTTTATTAGCCATTTGAATATTGTATTTGATTGTGAGCCCCATATGAAAGACTCCTTCTATCCCCCTTCCTCGCGTCAGAAAAAGAATGCACAGAATTTCCAAAGGAGATGGGTCCTCAAAACCTGTCATAAGAAGAAGAGAAGAAACCAGACACTTTCACATGGAAGTTAGAAGATTCTGCAGCATGGAGGCTATTGCAGAAAGGAGAGAACAGAAGAATTGCCTTTAATACTCAAGAGCTGTGAAGGACTAAATGCTTTAGTTGCCTCAAAAATTAAAATGTAAAAAAACTAAAGAACAAAGGGGTGAAATGATAAGGAAAGTTACTATAGTACAACAAAAGGCAAACTCTTTAAGAGACAGAGTTTTACGAAGACAGAATGAGTTCCCTCAGAACTTTGATCACTAGATTCACTAAGCCTTACTAAGCAGCAGATCTGGGCTAAGTATTTTATATGTATTTTATATGTATTAACTCATTTAATTCTCAGAAGAACCCCACAGGGGAGGTAATGTCATTTACACACTTGGTCGAGGTCACAGGGTGAGTCGATTAACCCAAGTCATCGACTCCCCAAAGCCCTGGCACTCCACTCTTGTGCTAATGCATCCCTCATCACCTCAGGGTCCAGGCAGAGGCTAAAAGACCCTTTTCCCAGAGATGCTGTGGAGGAGTTAAGGAGCACCACCAGATGAGATCACAGGTTAGATGCTATGAAACACTGTTTCCATGACAATGCTTAATTGTCACCACTTGGTCTTGCTTGGCTCAAAGCCAATTGCCAGCTGAAATGTGACGGACACAAAGTCTTTTTTGGTGTGAAACTCTGGCCTCCACATTTCCTGCCCCCTTTGGAACACCTTCTCTCCCAGCTTCTATTGCAGCCAAGGCAAGAACGCTGCCTATGTTCCTTAGCTAGCTCTTATGCCTTGTTGAGTCATTCCTCTCTAGAGCAACCAGATTTGAAAGCAAAGCCCAAAAAACAAAACTGGCTCAACCCAATGCTATCCTATGGTTACCAAACTGAGGGACATTCAGATATGGAAGCCATCTCACTGCCTGCTCAAATCACCAAAGTGGTGCCAACTTTAGATGTACAATAGGCATTAAAATAATCAAGACTAGAGCAAGGTTCTGGAAAGCAGGGACTACAT